CTGGATGGCACATACAGCACCTGCACGAGTCTCCACGAGCAGCTGGAGCATTGCGCAGGCGCTAAGACACATGCGTGAACTGCACACGTGCATGAGGACGCCACCGGCCCCATTCCAACCGAACCGGTTGGAACGGGATTAGCAACCCACCCCTGGTTTGAAGTTACAATGGCACTGAAAAAGTGACATGATCGTTTTCCACACTTACGACTGTTGCAGCATCCCCGCAGTCATATGATTTACATGCTTGACAATTGCTCCATATTTATGACAAGTGTCTTCAGACAAGGAAAGCCAAGGGGGTGGGGTGGGGGAAGCCAGATTCACTTAACGAAGTTGTTACTATCTTAACAAGGGCAGTGATTCATTTAACAACTGTGGCAAGAAAAGTTGTAAAATGGGCAAGAAGAAATTTCTCACTTAGCAACATAAATTTTGGACTCAATTGTGGTCGTAAGTTGAAAATTACCTGTAAAATACAAGATGGGTTCAATGTATCATAGAGCTAAGTGTTTTTTTAAGGATGTCTCGTATAGCATAATCTCAGACAAATGCCATCTTTTGATTAAGAAGAATGGAGGTTGAATATTCATCACAAAATTAAACAAGCAAAAATTAATTTCGGAATACTATATACAGTAGACTGTATCTCTCGTACATACCAGTACTAGATATATGAATAAAATAGAATTATAGAGATGAATTCTAGCCTGTGATGCAACGATCAGATAGCTAGAAAGTGCTGTGAGAATGTCAGGCTTCTTAAAAACTTCCTAACCTTTGCTAACAGATTAACAATTGGAAACGTGGATATTGTTTTACTGGAAAACTCACTTGAAGATGGGTGGGTTAAATATAAAAATAAAGTACTTGTTTTGTATTCTTTAGTTTAAAAAAAAAGAATGGTATTTTAAGATTCACCTCTGCCTCTAGTGATCATATGTCAACTCTGGTTGGGAAACTGCATAATTTATTTCTGATGTGGTCCAATTTATTGTTAACTGTTGCAATGCTTGTAACTGAATAACCACAATTTTTCTAAAAGTTTAATTTAGTTCCAGGTAGAAACTCATGCCTCAACTTGCCTCCCAGCTCTTTATTCTCCGTACTTTCTCTTCCCCACCCTTTCCCCATTATTATTTTCTTATCCCCACCCTTCATAGAAAATTCCCAATCTGTTCCAAATCCTGCCTTTTCCCCGTCTGCATTGTTTAGAACCTAATTATTCTCTTCCTGCTAACTCAGTTGCTGTTTCAACACGCAAAACACACTCACAGCTGTTTTGGAAAAAGTGAAAGATAAAACCGACCATTAAAATCTGGTGCCAGTTACAGAATATATTTAATCTATGTTCATTACATTCAAATGCATTGTCATATTTGGAATTGTGTATGCATATTGTATAAGAAGCAGCAGCAGATGCTTTCCTTCCCCACCTATCATTTCTCCACTCTACTAACCCCTAAACAACTTCATGTGGATATCCAGGGGTCTCTTGTTGAAATTATAGATACTCAAAATTGAACCAGCAACACAATTCCTGGCAGTCCACTTCTTTTACTTTAGTGGAAGGCACAAAGTTTTTCCCAAAATCTTTTTATACTATCAAGAGCAGTGTAATTTTTGGGGGGGAGAGGTGGAGTGGGGGACTTGAGGCTTGATATCTTTTTGATGCCATGTTTTGCAAGCCACTGAAAATTCAAATACCCTGCAACGCAGACGTACAAATTGGTTGTACAAATGCCCCACCCCCAACATACAGTAGCAGAGACATTCCCTCCTTACCTGTCCAACTCATCACCTAATGGCTGGTAGGTTTTCTGGTAACAATCAATCCTCTTGAGGAAATCCTCCACCACTTCATCCCGGTTACAGTCCTTATAATCAGGACTGGTTAGCTTCACTTGCTGTGGGTGGTTGGTACACCAGGCAAGAAGGACGGGGATAGAAAACATGATCGAGAGAGAGAGAGAGAGACACCCAATCAGCCTGGTGATCTTTGTTGGTTCACCGACAAATGTGCACACGACAAAAGCGCGCCAACAAAACCGCGGTGAGAAAACAGCGAGGTTGAAATCGCGCCCACAACAGCGCGCCCACAACAGCGCGCCCACAACAGCGCGCCGACAAAAGCGCGCCAACAAAACCGCGGTGAGAAAACAGCGAGGTTGAAATCGCGCCCACAACAGCGCGCCCACAACAGCGCGCCAACAACAGCGCGCCGACAAAAGCGCGCCATCAACAAACAACGCGAAAACAAGGTAATAACCCTAACCTCAACCCTGACCCTAACCCTTACCTTAACCCTAATCGCGCTTTTGTCGGCGCGCTGTTGTGGGTGCGCTGTTCTGGGTGCGATTTTGACCTCGCTGTTTTCTCGCTGCGGTTTTGTCGTGCACGCATTTGTCGGGTCACAATCTTTGTTATTATCCAGATTAGTATGAGTCTAGAAAGCCAGGGAGGAAGGTGGTGTCCTCAGTTTTACATCTCTACCCCAGACTGTACAAGGAAATCTGT